CCCCCAGCCCATCCCCTGCTCACACAGACCCTGGTGCTGCAGCACTTTTGCTCCATCCTCACCCTGGGATTCTGCATTTTTTGTTTGCTCCATTCCTCCTTTGCTGCCCCAGTGAAAACACAAACAAACTGCTTGGATGGGAGTTTTGCTTTTCCTTTCACTCTGCAAAGTGCCTTTTTTCCCTTTCTGTGGTGGTTTCAGCAGATAAATCCCAGATAAATCCCAGCTCACATTGGGGGATGCTCCAGGATCCTTTCCAAACCCTCCCTGGGATGAGGTCAGGATTAGGGAAGCCCCACTCTGGGTTTTGTGCTTTTCTCCCAGACAYCAACATTCAGCCTCTGATCCCCACAGGCAGACAAACCTCTCTCCAACAGACACAGCTCTGGACTACTTTTGATATTTAAATTGAGCCTTAATCAAAGCTGGATACGCCTGGGTTTAGATGCACTACATAATTAATATATTCGTATCTGAAATGTAATTACGACTGTTGCATCATAGACTGRAGCCAACAGCTGGCTATTTAAGGTGAGGAGAACAGTTTTAATGGGGTAGAACAATTTTAGAACCAACCCTGTAGGTTTTGGGGTTTTTTTTGATCCCAAGACACCCCAAGGGTTTGGGACAAGGTTCCCATTCTGAGCTCTCTGAACAAACAGAGCTTTGCTGAGATTCTAAAGGTTTACAACAATATTCCTGCTGAATTTGCCATCACACCATGTCAGACCCTCCCTAATACAGATTTAATTGATAAAACTGGGGGGTGTGATCCCTAAACCCACCAGACACACAAAGAAACTGAGTTTCTGCACATTTATGGGATTTTCTCCAACAAGTCACTCAGCTAAATTCTAATCGTGTGTTTTCATCAGCCAGAAGTAATCACAATCAACATTTTAATTAAGATAAAGAGAATGGACAGAATTTTAGGACTTGTTAAGTATAAACAAAGAGATAAAAGGAAATTTCACTGTTTGTAATTCTTCATAGTACGATCTGGGTAAGGCTTAAACTACAAAAGAAAACCATATTTAATGAAAAACCCTTTAACTATGAAGCCACACCCTCAGTCTGAAGAAAATACCAATTTTTTTCTTCAAATGGCCTGATCTAAAGAGAAATTCAGGGAGAATTTCCACTTTCAAAACACAGCACTCTTCAACTAAAAAAATAATTTTAAGAGATTTGTTTCCTTTTAGGGGGCAGAATGAAGCAGCAAAAAGTGATGGGGTGTGAATGATAAACTGGACTGGCTGAGCAGATCCTTTGCTATTTCCTGCAGAAATTCCAGACCCCATTCCTGTGCCAGAAGCTCAGGAGATCAAAGTGATTTGAGCCAGGTTTAATTCTCAGCAGAGCCCACAATAACAGGGTAAACACCTGCAGCCAGGCTCTCTGCTGAAGGACATGAAATGAGTGGAGATTGGATCAATTCTGGAAAAATTAACACCAAAGGGGGGAAATCTCCTCATTTCAGAGCTCTGGAGTTCAGAACTGAATTCAGAGAATTCCCATTTTCTGCCAACCCAAACACAGCTCAGTCATCCCTGGCCTTTGATCAAGGTATTTGTAGCACCAAAGAGTRTTTAAGAAATACCACGAGAAGCCTGTAGATTTTGAAAATGTTTGACTCGTGCCAAATTAAAATGAATAAAAAGCATGCTTCCCTAACTTSCTGATGAATGGGAAACGTGTGCTTGTGACAGCTTTGGGGGAACACTGCAAATTCAAAATGCAGAATGAGGGGGAAAAGCAGCAGATTGACATCCAGGAGACAACTCCTGATGTAAACAACCTGAACGTTTTCTCMCAGAAAAAAAAAGATAATCAGARAAACTTATGTTTTTTTAATGCACCSAAGCATTAACTGCTCCYGTTTTATTGACTTGCCTGTGTAATTTAAACCCCAAGCTGTAAGATTGTTCTGGAACTAAAAAAAAATCCACAGTAAGCAAACCCTGAATGCCATGTTAATGATCCCACTTTTACCGTTCTATGAAACACCATTTTCCTCCTTAAAGTTGCTCAACAGTCAATGCCAGGAAAGTATTAAAACCACATTACTCTGCCCTTTTACAGACTTTATCCACCTTCCAGCTTTCCAATTACATTTTGCTGTTTCCTTCCCTTAAAAACAGTGTTTTTGAAGTAACTGACATTGCAAGCTGGATAGCACAGGCTTAAACTGGGGAAAGAAGTGCTTCTCAAGGGAAAAACAAATTAGAAAAGTTGCTCTAAAATTCATCAGGACCTTGCATAATCCAGATTTCCAGGGAACCACAGAGGAGGGAGAGCAAAGACTCCAAATTTACCTGACAGAGCTGCTGAACTACAGCAAAAACAGAGTTAAAAACCAGAAAAAAAACAGTGGATGCCTCCTCCAAGTCACAAAGCTGCTCAGAACTGATATTTAACATCTGCTTCTGGAGCAGGGGAAGTGATCTGGAACACTAAACTGCCAGATTTCTTAGAACCAGCTTCTCGTTCAGTAAAATCATCCAGCTGTGATTTCAGATCTCACTGGGAAAAGCGAGTTAAAGCTCAGTTTATTTTGAGGCTGAGCCTAGAATGACCCTGAGCACCTCTCACCCTGCAGGATGGATCACACAGCACTGCCTGTGTTGTGTTTAATTCCCCCTCATTYATTTAAAATGCAAATTTCTGCTCTTGTTTTCATCAGTGAAAAACCCCCATCAACTCCTGCAGCCCAACTACACCTAGAACCAGGCAAGCATAAGGTAAGGCTCACACACAGAGCCAAAAAACTTCTATTTTGTGACAAGCACCACGATAATGGATTTAATTAGTAGGCGACATTTCAAAGCTGTTGACTTTAAGTTCCCTGCTTCACTTGACATATTTAGCTGAAGGCRAAACAAGGCTGTTTTCCTGTTGGTATCTCACACTAGAAGAGAAATCAAGTGTCCTTTCCACTGTTTATCCTCCCTGTCCCCCAACAGGAAAACCAASAGCCACACATTTGTTTGAASTGGTAARATCACCATCCASAGGTTCTTGGGTTTGTCCTTTTTAYAAGTTCCTTTTATGCATCGTGTCAGTAAGAAAAATAAAATTACAGAGAAATTCAAGCACTCTGAGCAGSAAAAAACATAGAACAGAGACRCTGTTTCCATGTCAAGAATTAGGMAAAATTGCCAGCAACTCTGGTGCCAAAWCCCTAAACACGAGAAAAGAGAAACCACTCCAAAAACCCCAAAGGCCCTAAAGCTCAGTGCATTTCCAGAGTCCTGAAAGAGCTCAAATGTGTGGTGAGTCCAGTGCTGCAAGGGGTTTCAGCTTTCCTTGATTGTTCATTAATGAGMAATTAATGAAATTCAGCAGAACTGAGCCCAGAACAGCACCAGTCCCATCCCAGTCACAGCCACGAGCTCAACCCCAACCTGCAAACCACAAACACAGCAACTCCTAAAAAAAAAACTACAAACACAACAACTCCTAAAAAATCCACAAACACAACAACTCCTAAAAAATCCACAAACCAAACAACTCCTAAAAAATGGGCAAACCCAACAACTCCTAAAAAAACCCCACAAACCCAACAACTCCTAAAAAAACCACAAACCCAACCACTCCCTAACAAAACGGGCAAACCCAACAACTCCTAAAAAAAACGGATAAACCCAGTAACTCCTAAAAAAATGGGCAAACACAATAACTCCTAAAAAAACCACAAACCCAACAACTCCTACAAAACGGGCAAACCCAACAATTCCCCCAAAAAAACAGGCAAACCCAACAACTCCCTAAAAAAACCACAAACCCAACCACTCCGTAACAAAACGGGCAAACCCAGCAACTCCTAAAAAAATGGGTAAACCCAACAACTCCCTAAAAAATGGGGAGGAAGAAAGGGAGGAAAGAGAGAACAAGCAGGCAAGCAGCAGCAGGGACAGGAGCACTGGGGACAATCCCCTGCTGTCCTGGATGTCACAGAGCAGAGCAGATGGGATGGGATGGAGGGAGGGTGATTTGTGTCTGCAGACAATCCATTGATAAGGWGAGTTCATTATGTGCTCAGGACTTCAATAAAGCAATAGCAAACAGCAGGATGAGCAGCAGGAAGGAAGGAATGCCCAGGAATTCCCAAATTTCCAGAGCTTTGCAGGTCCCCAAAGTGCCCCCGTGCCCTGCCTGGCACCAGGCACAAGGAACAGCCAAAATCTCTCAGAGTGCATCCCATAAAACGGGGCAAACACAGCTTTAATCTGCTCTTGCACAGGTCCATGAGTTTTCACTGTTAAATAATGAAGTGCTAATGGGTTCTTCAATATTATTTTTATTTTTTTTCCCCATTAGAATGGTCACTTTTGCCCACTGTCCCTGCCAGTCCATGGCCAGCTGAGATGGATTGGCTGCCCCAGTCAGAGCTGGGATAGAGGTAAAGGCACAGCCAAATTAAAATTCCCAGGAAAAATTTAACCTCCTGAGCCCCAATTTCCTGCAAACACTCCAAGTTCACAGTTCTGCTCAGCTCAAAGTGACAGAGATCACAACTCCAACTCCCCCAGTGAATTGAGCTCTGGTTTAACACAAACCAGCTCCTGGCTTCAGAGGGTAAAGATTTACTCACAAATAAACCACAAAAGAAATTCAGGCTAAGAAACATCACCCCCTCTCTGGGACAGGGGAAAAGGAGATGTGAAAATGTTCCTTACCAGTTTGAAGTCTTGAATGCTGCAGATGAAATAGGGCGTGTTYGGCCGGCGACTTTCGATATAAACGCAATCTTTAAAAACACAAAATTTCAAAAATAATGGACATTAATTTTCTGTGCCTCCAAGAAAGAACACAAAAACAGGATAAATTYAAATACAGCYTAAACTTTGAAAGAACCACCATTTMATTTGCATAGCGTGTAATTTATTCTGAGTGTGATCTAAAAATAGAAACTATTTATGATGATAAATAAGGGAATTAACTGCATAAAAATTAACTTTGATTTGAATAGACATTTTGGTAGAAAAAACAAAAAGGAAGTCATTGAAAGACCACTCTGGATTGAGTCAATAACAATGACCAGGTCACAGCCTATGAACCAGACCAAAATAAGAGAGCAAAGTAATCAGATTTTTCGTGGTCAGCTTGCCATTAAGAACCAAGCACTAACATATTTTCTCTTCTAATTGTGAAGAAAACCAAGGCAACCAATCACAGATGAAACCCAGCAAAACTTAAATTAGATTTACCTCAGGGAAGGCCTGGGCTTTCTCGAATTACATTTGACAAGACAGAAACACAGCAATTATTTTTGTTTGCTTTTGACAACTGCGCTCTCCAAGGCTGCTGTAACATAAGGTCTGTTGTGTTCCAAACAGTCTTGGCAATAATGACAACAAAAGCAGTGCCCTCGGAATGAAAACACTGCAGGGATGGGAAAGCAGTGTCTGATTAATGATCCTGACCTTGGAACTGAGCACAGCTCAACAGAAAGGTGCCAGCCCCAAAGCCACACCAGCATTAAAGGACAGTGCTCGTGTCCCCTCTTACACAGAGAAGGAGCTGCTGCTCAAACACAGAAGAGACAAAACCCATCACTATCCCAGGAGGGATGATCCAGGAACTCNATTTGCATAGCGTGTAATTTATTCTGAGTGTGATCTAAAAATAGAAACTATTTATGATGATAAATAAGGGAATTAACTGCATAAAAATTAACTTTGATTTGAATAGACATTTTGGTAGAAAAAACAAAAAGGAAGTCATTGAAAGACCACTCTGGATTGAGTCAATAACAATGACCAGGTCACAGCCTATGAACCAGACCAAAATAAGAGAGCAAAGTAATCAGATTTTTCGTGGTCAGCTTGCCATTAAGAACCAAGCACTAACATATTTTCTCTTCTAATTGTGAAGAAAACCAAGGCAACCAATCACAGATGAAACCCAGCAAAACTTAAATTAGATTTACCTCAGGGAAGGCCTGGGCTTTCTCGAATTACATTTGACAAGACAGAAACACAGCAATTATTTTTGTTTGCTTTTGACAACTGCGCTCTCCAAGGCTGCTGTAACATAAGGTCTGTTGTGTTCCAAACAGTCTTGGCAATAATGACAACAAAAGCAGTGCCCTCGGAATGAAAACACTGCAGGGATGGGAAAGCAGTGTCTGATTAATGATCCTGACCTTGGAACTGAGCACAGCTCAACAGAAAGGTGCCAGCCCCAAAGCCACACCAGCATTAAAGGACAGTGCTCGTGTCCCCTCTTACACAGAGAAGGAGCTGCTGCTCAAACACAGAAGAGACAAAACCCATCACTATCCCAGGAGGGATGATCCAGGAACTCATTTCTATTTCTACAGAAAACCTCCAGAATCTCAGAGCTCTGTCAGCCACGTTCCAGGATGATCCAGGAACTCATTTCTATTTCCACAGAAAAGCTCCAGAATCCCAGAGCTCTGTAAGCCACGTTCAGGATGATCCAAGAACTCATTTATATTTTTACAGAAAAGTTCCAGAACCCCAGAGCTCTGTAAGCCACATTCCAGAGCACACTGACACAGTTTGATTCAATCCAGCTCATTTGGAAGCTCCAGCAATTTTACCACATCCAATTCCTGCACCCCTGGCTATCCCAGATTTTCTCAGCCCATCATTCCATGCCCTCCCTCCCTCCCTCAGCTCAGGATCCCAGCTCCATCCTCCATCCCACGCTGCTCCAACTCCTCTGCAGGAGCTCTTTTGGGATTCACCGGGGAATGTCCACAAAAAGCTGCGAGATTGAGGAGACACCAAACTCCACAACTCTCAAAATCTGTTTTTCTCGGTATCTCTGCCGTGCAAACCTCCTTTCCCAGAGYTTTATCAGGCAGCCAGGCATCCCTGGGAAGGGCTGGGGACAAATCCATCCCCAGGGATAAAGCTCAGCTCATCCTGGCTGCCAGCCAAGCCTAAAACTGCGATGACATCCAGTTCASAGTGTCCACAGCAAGAGAGGCCATGCAGATAAGGAAACAACTTTATCCAGGTGCACAGCAAGGTCAGGGATGAGAGAAACTGGAAAGATGCCCCCAAAAAAGGAGAATACACACCAGCCACTCAAAACTCAGCATGAAGAGAAATTCCTTCCGTTTGCCAGAAATCCAAACGGCTTCCATGGGGAAAGGAAAACTGCACCATCGTTTTTGTTATGTGCACAGATAAAACGGATGCCACTGGACACTGCAAAACA